CGGTTAAAAAAATTATGAATTTATTTTATATGTTCAACAAGAACAATAATTGGTTCAAATATTCTATTTTAAACTTGATTAAATAAATAAATAAATATATAATAAATATTATTTAAACAATATCTTAATAATATAATATTAAATATATACAGTATAAATAATGTATATTCAATAAAAAATAGATTAGATTAAGAAAAAAATTATAAATAATACAAATACAACTAAAATTAATTTAATCTACTTTAAAAATCCCATTTATTTAATATACCCATTGTTTTGTTGTTGAACCCAGTATATGTTTTAATGAAATATCTATTCTAATAAACAAAAAATATTGGCTACAGTAACAAAATTATATATATTCGATTAATATTCCATTTATATATATATATATGAAAACTAAAATAAAATGAAATAAACAAAAATTTATTTAATTTAGTCTGTATTATTTTAACCATTATTATTATTATTCTTTTATTTTATTTTTTTATTGAACACATGATATTATTGTTATATATTTTTTGTTTTGTTATATGTTTATCATTAAAAATTAAAATTAATTGTAATTAATAATGAAGTGTAATTTTTTTATTTTCTGCTTGTTTATTTAGTTGTGGACAGATAATGATGACGGGGCTCATTGATCAGGGTGAGGACTTAGAGCTGACGGACCCTCAGAAGGACGGAGACCCCCAGTGTCCCGCACACTTCAGACACAGTCTCATGTAAGAACCGCACACATCTGCAGTATTACACAATAAAAGTCCTGCGCGGCTTTCACTAAATCACTTAAAAATCCATTTAAAGCTCTTCACTTTCCAAAACGTCCTTGTTATTTTCAACATGAATCATCTAGATTCATTCACTTGATAGTGTGTGATTTGGGACGCGATAACGATTGCTTTCCTGTAAAATAATTCTACTTCCTGTATTGGTTTTGCTGGCTGTTCGCAGCATCTCTGTGTGTTTATTGCAGAGTAGGTGTGCTGTAAGTCTTCACCCAGTTCCCACAGGTCTGTGCTTGTCGTGTTTGGGCAGATTTGCGATCGGGCCGAGCCACACGTCATCCGTAACGCCACAAACCCACGCTTCTGTTCTCACTGTTTGCTAAAACATCTCCCCGCCTCAGACCGCGAAACAACGGAGCACAGTTACGTAACGACTGTGTTTGCATTTCAGCCCGATCCAGCAGGTTTATGAAACAGCGTCTCCAAAACACGATCAGATCTGAGAACCAGGGTTATCATTCACTGAAGCTGAAACCATTAAAAAACATCATTGCTTGAAATAAAATAAACATTCATTCAAATAAAAAAACTAAAACTTTCAGCTAGTTCCATTTCTCGACATTTCTCATTTTCACTTTAAGTTGAAGTACTAAAATAACTAAATCTAAATGAACTAGAACTGTATGTGTATATATATGTGTGCATATATATATATATAAATATATATATATACATACACACACACACACACACACACACTCTCTCTCACTCACACACACACACACACTCTCACACACACTCACACACACAGACACACACACACTAAATATACTAGTAATACCAGTAATACTGTAATAGTTCTAATATAAGAGTACTAAAATAACATTGTTCTTTAGTCTCTCATCCAGGCATGACTAGATATTGTTGTAGAGACTGAACGAGGCTGATATGTTTGCACAAGATCAGGTTTGGTGGTTTTTGCATCTTATTCTTGTCTCATTTGTTAAGCAAAGTTTGCAATATGAAAAGAAAGCTTTCTTGTGCAATTTTCAGATATCTGAAAATGACAGACCCTCTACATGCACATGTAATCAGGTTATTTCGATAATTTAGAATTGTTTGTGATTGATGAGAAAATAATATAATAATATTATTATATTGTTAGATTAAAAAAAAACGTATTATTAGGTAAAAACAAACTAGAAATGTAGCCTTTGCAGCTAACTAGAAATAAGTTGAAGCTGCAGTACAAAAATTACAAATAAATAAAAATGTCTTAATAAATTAAAATAAAAGCTAAATATATATATATAACTAATATGTCAAAAAAATTACAAACTATGAAACTAAATTATATGATGTATTGTATATTATTATTATATATAGAAATCACTTAGCAACCACGCGACATCTTAGCAAATGCGTAGCAACTCCATAGCAACCATGTAGAAGAATAGAAATCTTCAGAAAAATGAATTGACTAGCATTGATGGGTCTCTTTTGGATTCAGTCACTTGTGATGAGGCTCTTTTGGTTTTGTGTTTAATTGAGGAAGCCAGATTTGTGGCGCAGCAGGATTCGTGGTGTTTGTGTTTGAGTGTTGTTTTCTCCGCAGCGTGTGAGACGAGGAGGCGATGATGCTGCAAACCCACGTGCAAAACACTCACGTTTACAGACGAGCGGCTCGTATTACATAAGACAGTGGAGAGCGGAACACACACTCACACACTCACTCACTCACACACACACACACACTCTCAC